AGAAGTATTGTTAACTGATCTTGAATAAATAGTGATATCAGCCATTTTATTTGACACAAATGAGTCTTGAGATATGCCAGAAATTTGTAATTTTGAAATGTAAGTTTTTGAATAAATTCTTGATAAGAGTTTTTCTGTGATAAATGATGTCTGACTGCCATTGTCTAGAAGAACTCTGGCTAAAATAGGAGTACCAGATTTGGAGTAAAGAATTACCATTGCTGTAGCCAATAGTACTTGATAGTGATTTGTTGATAGAGCTGACATACTGAGAGAATGTTGGGGTGGTTGAGTAGTTGGGGACGGTAATGAGTGATGGTTATCAGAATAATTATGCAATAAATGTCAAGATGGCGACAGTTGGATCTCGGGATTACTAAGAGAAGTTTGTGATGGATGAGAGTGAGTAGAGTGGTGAGAGTTATTTTGTGGAACTCGAGTTTGATAAATATTTTGAGAAGCACTATTCTGAGAGTGGGGTGGATTGTTGCCTTGGAGAGAGTTATGAGTTTGTGGTCTAGAGATGTTCCTCGTATTTTCATTGCTATTGGTAGGGTAATTAGGTGCATGACCTTGAGATATCTGGTGATAAGGTCGTTGACCGTGTAGAGTGTTTTGAGGTGCATTATTTATATGCAAAAGTGTATGATGTTTTTTTGTACATATAGAACAGCCTCTAGAGGTGCATTCATTATAAGTGTGTATGGTTCCTAAGCAATTAAAGCACATCTTTTTAGAACGCACAAAAGAAGTTTTTTCCTGATGAGTAAGAGCATTAAAATTGTTACATTTATAGATTTTATGGTTAGTGTTATTGCAATATGAGCATTTTATGTCTGGAATATATTGGGATGAGTGAGCAGGAGTATTTTGAGAAGAGTGAGCAGGAGATGCTTGAGGAGAGTTATATGAAAGGTGGGTTACAGTACTATAGGTTTTTACTTGTTTTTCTTTTGTGGTGGTAGAAGAATTGAAATCAGAAAGCACATTACATCTTTCTTCAAGGATCTCAAAGAACTCTTTAAGAGTAGGGAGAGATTTTCTATTTTTCGAAGATTGATATTCTCGTTTTGTACTAAAATCCAATTTACGTGATAAAATAATAATTAAAATTAAATCCCAATATTCCACAGGTGCATTTAAATTTTTTAGCGAATCTACATTTTGCTTTATACTAGTAATAAATTCTCGTAGTGATTGGGTAGTAGATTTGACTAAGACCGGGGTATCTAGAATACTATTTAAATGGGAATTTATTATGGATAAATCATTATTATATCTGTGTTCTAAAATGGTAATTGCGATGTCAAAGTTTTCATTGATTAGTTGAAGTGAATCAATAAGAGAGAGGGGTTCACCTCTTAAGGAGGATTTTAAATAAATTAATTTTTCAATTTGTGTCAAGGAGTTATTGTTTATTATTAGAGAAGTGAATAATTGGTGAAATGGAACCCATTTGCTGAATTCACCTGTGAAAGTTGGTATTGCTATTTGTGGCAACTTGACGCTGGGGGTGTGAGTTACATATGATTGAGATATCGGACTAGTGGGTGAAGAATTTGATGTTTCTAATACATGAAGTCTATTATGTATGCATGCAATCAAGGCAAAATATTTATTTTCAAAACAAAGTCGATCTTCTAGATCGACACCAGTGCCTTCAAGAACAAGGTGGTCTATTTGATCTTGAATTTCACTGTATTTATTAAAATATATGTGTAAATGAGTTTCTCTATCCTTAAGTTCGAAAACAGTAATGTCATTAATATTCTCGTCTAGCCAGTTTGATATACGAGTAAATGATGACTTTGCAGTTGTACGTTGCTTTTTTAAAGCATCCATTATTGTTAAATATTTAAAGAAAAATTTAAGTAAATAAGAAAAATAGTGAGTTTAAATATGTATAAAAAAAATTAAAAAACACAATCAAAAACAAATATTGCAAATAAATATCGTAAATAAATGTTAATAAACAAAATTTTAAAACACACTGTTCTTTAATAACACCTAAAAGTTCAAAAATACCTGAATCCTCTTCAGAGCTGTGGAAATGGTATGAACTGTGTGTCATGCGGAGAAAGTGTGAGGCATCGGGCGTGTGCTTTACTGTTGAGTTGACGGGAAATACAGGTGTGGCATTGGAAGCTGCCAATGTCGAGTCATGAGTCTACCTCAAAGACAAGGAATGTTGAATCTGCCGCTGGGGGGATATTTTCTAATATCCGGCTCGAAGGACCATTTGTAGGGACGCCACTGGCTACGTGACGCTCTTACAGAGGGAGTCAACCTTTCAAAATGATTTAACTAAAATATGGAGTGCTTCTCCATAGAATTCGCAGATCCAATTAAATGTCGATGAAGGAGTCACAACTTGAAGAACATAATAAAATAGGACGGCACTGTTTAATTATTTACATGCGTTTATTATATACAGTAATAGTTTTATAAATCCAAACTTAGTTACACATACATTTTAAGTTACAAAAATTATTAACGATCACCATAAAAAAATCATTACCGTTGCACTGGTAAACATGAGTTATATATTAAAAATAAAGTTAATATTTAAATTGTGAGAAGTAGCGTGTTTTTTAGATGCTGAGTTAAAACGGAATGGCCGACACCCTGAGCCCCATCGTCCGTCGTACCCAAAGCGCGGGAGGGCAAATCTCAAGAGCCATCTGCCCAGATGGTACTAAAGTTACATTAATTCTTAATAAATGGACAAATAAAAGGTTCTGAAATTGTAGAATCGATAATTTGACCACATGTACCCTCTTCTTTGCTGGGTAGATGTCACCATGAGTAGTGTTTCCATAAATAAAACTACGAATTTGAAATGAGTGGGAAAATGATTGTTACTTTGTTCAGGGAATCTGAACAGGTGCTACTGACAGAATTATTGGATTTGCAAGTAAAATGGGCATTAATACGTTAGCATCAAGCAGCACTATTTTTGGAGATGGTACATTTAAAAGTTGCAATTCTTTATTTAATCAATTGTATACTTTTCATGTGGATTTAAGAAGCACCGAAGAAGTCACATGTATTCGACCAGTTGCCAGACAGAAAGAAACAAACTTATATGAGGTTATTTCAACTGGTAAAAAACCGCATTCCAAATTTTACACCCAAACAGTTGAAAACAGATTTCGAAACTTCACCAATAAATCCTTCTAGGAAACTTTTTCCAGACTGTAAGCTCAAAGGATGCAATTTTCATTTTACCCAAAGTCTATGGAGGAAAGTCCAAAATTTAGGGCTTTCTAATAAATACAAAGTCGATTATTTATGATTGTTAATCTTCGTATTTATTAATTTATTTTTAATTTTATTTCCGAAAATAACCGGGTCAATTGATTTTCTTAGTGTTCAACTATAAATTAAATAATAATAATAATTAAATAAAATAAGAATTCAATGTATAATATTACGGGGAGCATTTAATATAGTTTCTAACTGAAAGCGAAATAAAAATATTTTTTATCAATAATTATTAAAATGTAAATTACTAAAACAAAATCAGTTCTTTTCAGAACTACAACATATTTATTATGTGACAGAATCTCGTGGTCGGTAGTGGGATATACACAAAAAAAGTAAACCCTGCGCGGGCGGTAGTGGCACTCGAGCAGGTATTTTTTGGTCGTGGTCGGTAATGGGACGGTCTGTACAGGGATATAGCATATCTGATAACCGTTCCTGGTTCATGGATGTTCTTAAATATTTTTTTATAAATTGTAGCTGTCAAAAACTTCTTTCTTTGGAAGCCACTGAAATAGGTAAGGCAAAAAATATTCTGAGAACAGTAAATTTGGAAACAAAGATTTTTGATCTTTTTTAAAAATATATTTTAAATATTTATGGGCGAATTAGCATCTGTACTAGAATTAGGATTATTAATTTTGTTAGGCACAATGTCATTATTGTAAATCAATTCCATCGATATCTTTACATAGTTTCCCTTCCTTTTCAATTTGCAAAGCTATATCTAAATCCATTCATGATACTTTAATCACATTTGAATTTAAATTTTGAAAGTTTATTAATCTAAACTTTCTAATATTTCCAGAAATTGAAATCTTAAAGGACGAATGGCTTTAATTCTACTTTCCCATCTTGTTTCGCTTGCTGACTTTAATGTTAAATTCTGCAAATTTTCTTTTAAGATGTTCCATCTGTAAAATGATGCAGAAAAACAAATTAAACAACTCTTGAATGATAGAAAAAAATCCAAGGGTCTCATATTTAATTTTTGCTGCATCATTAACTGTTAAGTTTAATGTGTGAGCTGAACAAGGTACAAATATTGCCCTGCCATTGACATTTTTAATTTGTGCTTGAAGGCCTACATGTTTACCATATATATTTCCAAAATTTGATCCCTTGAAAATGTAAAAAGTCCTTCCCCTGTAGTATTTAAAACTTGAAATAATCCTAAAAAATATTTCCTAATTTTGACTTCATTTGAGGTAGAATCAACAAATCTTATTACAAAAGTACGCTGCTTAACATCAGGAGTTTCATCAAAAATTATGGAGTAATATTTTGCATTTTAAAATTTCACATTGAATATTTTTTGACAATAAAATGATTTCCAGAATAATGAGGTATCTTTTGATTTGACTGTTTAGATTTTTGAATATTATTTCCAGGAGATTTTGTTATTGACAGATACCCGAGAAAATGCTTAATTGAGGTCAAACCATCGTTAGATATAATACCAATATTTACTTCTGGACGTCGTTCTCTTGGTGCTTCTGATTGTTACTACTCCAATCGCTTTGCTTTATAAAATTTGTAAAAAAATGTGTTGTTCAGGAAGAGATAAGAAAGAACAGAAAAAGAAACAGAAAAAAGAATAAAAAATACTTTGGTTTGTTATAGATTTCTTCTTTCATTTTACTAAAAATCCCATATTATTTCTCAATTTATTGTTTATTATGTATCTCGAAGTATACCTCAAGGTTCAAACTTGGTACTTTACTTTCTCTTACCTACACGATCTTTAAATATTTATTCCGCACAGAAAAACTCTATTAAGAGAGTGTAATAAATGTATTTATTATTTAAAAATATTAGAAATACTATTAATCATTTGTACAGTGTGAGCAGGAATAGAAGGTGAACTAATATTTCTAAATTCCCATCTCAACGATAGCTGTTTCCATACTCTGTCAGCGCTGAGGCCCATCGTGTTTTGCAAGAATTTTATCCAATTGGGCTGCCATTTTCCAGATAATAACTGCAAATAGATAACATTTTAAAAATATACATAAATAAAATGGCAGGTACTACAAATATCTCACATATGTCTCTCTGACTTATTGTGGAGATAAAATAGTGTACAATTAAAACCTAACCGTTATAAAATAACGTTTTCTAGCTTTTTTCGAAAACTCTCTGAGGAAAATAATAGCAAGAGTGTCTGACAAAAAAGGGGTCATTGAGAGATGTTAGTATATCTAGAAACCAACATTGCAGGTATCTACTAATGTTGTGAGCTTCTTTGTTTGAATACAATATTAATTCAAATCATCCTAATTTTCTTCATGTTGGGCTTCGAGCATATATTACTAGAGCCATCGTCCAAATGGGCTTTCTTACAAGGGGGAAATATAGTATCCAGCATTTCCATTGGTCTGTTTTGTTTTGCTTGGCATGTCAAATCGTTCGAAATTGTCAGAACTGTCATTTCATTTTTGATTTTCATTAATTTCTAGCTTGTTTTTGTAGTTTATAAGTGATTTTTTGTATTTTATTACTTTACTGATACAAATTTTAACAATGGTGAGAGTTTGTGTAAGTTGTAAATAGAAATAAGAAAAGGCATCGTCAAGGGCATTTCACAAGTAAGTAACCATTAGCGTCTCTACCATTTTTTTAAAAGAAACATAGTACCTACATTTTATACAAAAGGCCGTTAAACATGAATTCAAAACAAATGGTAAATTTAGTGAATTAACTTTAAAGAACTTGTATTATGTATGAGGAATATTGTTTTTGATTTTGGACTACCAGTTTACAAAGACATCATTTGAGTCAACCAGAAATATATTAGCCTTTATAAGCTGCAAGGGATCTTTCTATTTGTAAGTTCTTCCAATTATTTTTAATCTCTTCTAATATTGTATTACTGCTGTTACTGTGAACTACTGAGGTCCCACGAAAGTTTTTTAAGCCTCTTTCATTGCAAGACTACATGCAATCTCGTTACCTTCTACCCCGCGATGCTAATCGTCTATTTTTAAACTTAACAAACATATTTCTCTATATTATAAATAAAAAAAAAACGTACCTGGTCAAAGGGACGATAACCGATGTTAAACATAGTATGAAGCAATGAAAGTTGTTTTGTAAGTGCTCTATTTGGTTCTATGGTATCTTCTTCAGGGCTGATACCCATTTTTTGATAGAAGAATTCAGCATTGCATTTAACGAACCAGTATAAAACCTGAAATTCAATTTATTTAGTAAATATATCTTTGTTAGTGGTATGTTATGTTATGTTAGAAATGGAGTGTTAATACACTGCGACCTAAAAGATCTATTGTGCCTCCTTCTTTTAGTGGTAACTAAAAGCTTGCTGCACACTCTTGTCCAGAGACAACTCTATTCAATCCTTTGTTAAAAGAAACATTAAAAACTTCTGGAAACAGCAAAAAAGAAACATTGTTATTCCAGATCTAATGAATTTTGATTGATTTAAAACTTCCTTAGGCACGAAAATGGCTAACTTATTTGCCGATTTTTTTTTCTTTTGTCTACACTAATTAGACTATCGATCTGTATGAATATAATATTAAACCGAAGCTTAATATATGCTTACACCATATCCCAATTTTAACTATTTAGGGTCGTGACACCATTCCCGATTATTCCTAAAAAAACTGTAGCTTTATATTATCTAGTGCTCTGTTTTCTATTTTTAACAATTTGTTGGATACTGGGAATTTTCCAGATTATCCAATATTCAAATCTGTTAAAAAATCTGGCATAAGAACCTACCATCCCACGTCTATAATTATCATAAACCCAATGTTCTTTCAAGGCACCATAACGGACTACTATCTCATGACTGATCTTGTATCATAACTCGACAACAATTTGACTTTCAGGCCTGCAAGTACGAATAAAATTTGGTTGCTTTTGATATAATAATTATTGATAATTCCTAAACAAAGTAAATTTGGTTTAGGTGGTTTATTGTTGCAATGGGTTAAAAGCTATTTTCTTAAGAAAACAGAGTCAAAGTGAAAGTCACTATTCTCATACTTACTCTGTTACTTTTGGAGTTCTCTAAGGTTTCCTTCTTTTTAATTTATCTGTCAAAGATGTGACTTTCTTACTTTTTGCAGACGATCTTAAAGTAGCACTTTTTGCACTTAATATACAAATAACTATTCTACATGCTTTAAATTGCTACCTTTAAGCTCCTTCGTCCGCTAGCCGTCTCCAAAATATCACTAACCACTACCTCAGCAAGAAGCTGATTGGTTTCCATTCTCATCGACAATCCATCTTCACATTCAACTACTCTGCAGTCAGACTTGACTTGTTCCAAAAACTCTTCGATTTGATCAGTGTGCTTATTGTCTTCGTCGATGCTGCACAGCGACTCAGCTACAGCTAGGGAAATAGCTTCAGGGGAAGTACTTGCAGACTCTATGCTGACAATAGATGACGTGCGGTGATGGGTAGCTTCAGGATTATCATCTATACGAACTTCTTTCTTGACTTCTTGCGATTTTTTCAATAAATAGCTGTACAGAGCGCACACCAAAATCTGAACGAGAACGGAATTGTTCAATGGAACGGTTTCGGTTAAAATGAAATCTTGCAGAATGCTCGAAATTTTGTTCAAAGCTGGATTCACGTAGTCCCAATACTGGCTAAAACATGCTATTATAAGAGACATGGCTTGATACATGGTCGCCCCGGTTTGTATAGCATTAATCACGGCATCTCCTGCTATCGGTATTAGGGAATTTGTGAAATTTAGGATGGCTTCGTACCATGGTTGACGGATTTGGTTCCAAACCTATAGAGAATTAAATAATTTGTACTAAATTACTTGTTTACCAGGTAATGTAACTTTTATAAATTAATAACTAAACAATAGTCTTAAATAGTAAATTAGTTAATAAAGTTTATGCTGCTACTAGTTTTAACCTCGTAGGGACATCAGGCGTAAAAAGAAATACATTGAACTAGCAAGGGAGGGGGAAACTACAAAAAAGTTAATAGTTCAAATACGACCAAAGCTAACAAAATAATTTTAATTATATTATAAAAACTTGCTTTTTAAGTCAAATGCATTAATCAAGATAGTGGAAACATAAGGGAAGAAGGTTATTATAATAAAAAGCGGGAATAAAGTGTTAAATGGGAGAGGGGATGGTGAGGATCGTAGTTAACTGTATAAATTTCTTCATTGTGGGATGAATTTCAATAAAAACACAAAAATGCTTCAAGATTTTTACATTCAATAATTTTAGTAGTTATATTTGCTTTGCATCTTAATTTCGGTGGCCTTGTGTTATATTATCAAATAGATACCTATCTTTTAATCTATTAAAATTTAAAATATATTATATAAGATTCATCAATGAAAACGTTTAAAATATCCAAGGAAAAATGGAAAGCAATGTGGCAACGTTACGTTTTTTGGTGGGCTGTTTGCAAACAAGAACTTTGAAACTGTTCTACTTTCATATCCACCTTAATTTAAAAATAAACTGAATGGCACATATAAAACATTTTAGCATAAACATAGTTCGAGATAGTATACATATTAATATAATATTTAGAACTAACATGTCTCCTTTCCAAACAATTTGACCAATTAGGTTGCTTCGTAATAGCAGGTATCAAAATGTCCGTAATTTCACTGGCGCTTCCGGCAAATAATAATACTTCTGTAGAAGACATAATTAAATCGTAGTAATGTATTGCTTGCAGCATCGTTGCCGATGTGTTGTCATCTTTACAAGAACCGTCACTGTTACACAAAAAGGCTTTGCAGTTTACGTACTTCACTTGAGGTTTTTGCATAGTTTCCAATTTGTCGAAATGATCAGAGGTGCCATCCAGAATTAAGTGGAGTACTTTGAACTTGTTCATACAAAGAATCTACAAAAAAATAATTAAATTAAAAGTGTTTTTAAGATTTCTGTCAAATACTCTATACCTTTAATAAAAGTGCCCAATTTGGTTGGGGCTGAGCCAGCAAAACAATCAGCTCCAAAGCAGTTGTCACATTTGGACTCAAATCGTTCATTTTAACTATTTGTTTAGAGTTATTTTTATCAAATATATTCGGTAAAGCGAATAATATCCATGGAGCGACTCCTGTTACTCTTGATTTAAACATTTCCACGTTTTCCAAACCTTTCCTGAACACCTTAATAAATAAAAATTAAATATCATCTAGAAAATGTCTTTGTAATCTTACTTTGTACAGCACATCTATCGGAGATGCTCTTAACAATAAACAAGTTAGCAATTCTTGGCATTTGGTATGGATATCTCTCAGAATTTTGCTGCTGGTGCTGTAGGAAAAACCAATAAATTCTTTGGCATTTTCGCAAATGGCTGGTAGCAACTCTGCTATACAAACTAACAAGTTACTGATGTCGACGACAATAAGTTGACTTCTTGTTTCAGAAGGCGTACTCTAAAAGTATTAACAAAAAAATAATTGCAATAGGTTCTGATAATATAAATATTTCTTTAGTAAAAAGTACAAAAAATCATACTAAGAGAACACCTGAACAAACCAGGAGTAAATACAGCAAAAAGACAATAATGGTTTGGTCAAGCAGTATTTGGCGAGACTGTTACCCGTCCTGCCATATATTTAAGATGCTTTTGAAGTTTGTCTGATGTTCTTTCTACAAATCAACATATTGCTAGGACTGTAAGGTCCAAAATAATGCTTTATAGAATTTCTCATTTGTTAAGTACATACACTACTATTTTTAGATCATTTTTGGTTACTAAAAAAAATTACCTGTGTATATCGAACTGTCAAAATTGTTAACGACTCGTTTAACATCCCGGCGAACACCCTTTGAGCCATTTTCGGAGGAACTGTATTCCAAAGATCTTCTTTAGTACCTGTACCAGAGAAATACATAATCAAATCTTATATACAGATAAGTTAAAATTTTTACGCGTGATAGTAAATGTACAAGAGCGTAAAGAAACCCGATAAATAGTCTAAGAGAAATTACGAGACGAATACTCTTGTAAAAATCTAGGAATTAAAGGTACTTATATCAATTCTGCCGTGCTTAGCAAAAACGCCCTATCTACAAAAAAGTAACAAATGAGAAAAACAGCTTTTTCTTTGTTGGCAGCCGTAGTAACTTAAACGATTTTTACAGGATTTGTTGATGGAAGATGCTTGTTTTTTGTTTAAAAATCATATTTTCGTAAAAAATACAGCAGAAGCCTAAGGTGCTTCTCTTATGGACCATACTGCGTTTCTCCTAAGGGTCTCACCAAACCAGTATAAGGCTGTAAGTTTTTCTTTTATTAAATAAATAAATATTAAAGAAATAATGCATTGAAAGTGGTTTCATAAGTTATTTCTCTTAAAATGTTTGCTAATACATATTTTTACTGCAATTTTAGATTCAGCAGTTATAAAAACCAGGGACAAAGACATGTACGAACTTATAAAAAGATATTTTGTTGCCATAATTATAAGATCAAACGAACTTACCTGAAGTGAAGTTCGATCTTAATTATATGATGCCTCGTCGAAGTAAATAAGATATACGTCGCCCCCTGTATATGCTTCGATTCGACCACATAGTTGAAAGCTGGAACTATTTGATATATTCCCTTCTCCACCAATCCCCTCATCACAACACTTTGCTTTAGTCATTTCATAGCATACTTGTTGCAACTTAAAGGGGATTTTAGAAATATTGGGTGGGTCTGGGACTTACTTCGACGAGGCATCATATAATTAAGATCGAACTTCACTTCAGGTAAGTTTGTTTGATCTTATAATTATATTTCTGCCTCGTCTCGTAAATAAGATATATGTCGCTGTTTAAAGCATGTTGCAACAAAAAATTACGATAAAACATTTTATTTATATTTAACTGATTACAAGTTTAAAATTTATATTGTTATAATTGACCCACTTTCAAGAAAACTTAAAAAATAGAGATATGTCATGTGCTCTAAGAGGAAAAATTGCTTCATAGCAATTACTCAAAATGAAGTTTATCCATAAGCTGATGGTCTGCGTAGAAGGCAGCATGATGCGGCTTCCTAATTATAATGTACAGAGGCTAGCACAATTATTCCTTAAGTCATTAATTTTGAAACTAGCTGAAAATGCTACAACCAAAACTACAGTTAGTGTTTGTAAGTTACCACCGGCCATGAGGAACGAGAGTTTTTTTAGTGAAAACAATAATAATATATCTAGCAGTGGCGTAGGCAGTTGCAGTGATAATAATTCAACAAACATTCCTCCACTAACAGATATTAGTGTAAACCAGAATAGTTCTAAAATTTAAGTGAGGTGATGCCAGACAATAGGGAAGAATTTTGGCGCAATATACCAAAAAAAAAATAATTAGGACAATTCTAAAATTAAATTTAATATTTTGGGCACGTATTAACAAGGTTGTTGCTACGCAAATACCTGGGTTTGTATAAAAAAAAAAAACTGGAGGTTTAACATGGGATAAACTCTATTGTTAGCTGATATATTTACTTTTTTCGTTACCTTCTTCTGAATTTCTTGTTCTTTTCTGACAATATATAAGACCAGTAACACTGCTAATTTATTGGTAAGGTTTTTACACTTCATTTATGTTCCACGTGTTTTCTTATTTAAGCACATCTGGTCTTTAACCTAAAAAACTTCTTAAAAAATCAGTTTAGTGAATTATATGATGAATCACTATAAAATTGTCTTGTTTAATATTCTAACATGGACTTCCAAACTACAATTTTAATCGGAAGTTATATTTTATAGGCATAGTATCCGATATCCATGAGAGTTTACTGAATAATATCCCTGCCACCAGGGAAATTATTCCTGAGAAAGGATGGGTTATCCTATCAAAAGAAATCAAGTCCTTATTAGGAGTAAATATCAATGTCTGATCTACTCATAGCAATAAAAATAAAAATAACAGATACCAAGGCTGAGAGTCCCATAATATCAAAGAAATCAAAGAAATCTACACGAATATGATATCTACTATCACGTAATTTATTAATCCAGCATAACAAAACATTTGCTAACTCTTTAGATATTTTCATTACTGAATTGTTATCCCCTTTTGCTTTTTACGAGCTAAGAACTTTTCTCACTTTACTATCTTTGTATAAAGTAAAGAGTATTGTATTGCTGGATATAGGCAGAAAACTAGTTTCCCCTACAATTTATAAAATTCTCTAATGGTCGGTCCATCTTTCTTGTACTGAAAATTATTTTATAATTTTTATAATTTTATATAAGAAAACAAGTATAAAAAGTTAATTTTTCTAGAAATCCAATAGTTTCTGAAAAAACTTAATACATAATGTCTCATATCAATTAACTATTAACAAAAAACATCTATGTATACGTCATATAAAAAAACTCTCCTTCATAGGAAATAAATTAGTGGCTTCGTCAGTTTTGTAAATACAAATGGGTCAACACCTACCCAAAAAAACAGACAATTTGTACTCGTACAAAGAGTTCTTATATTTCAATATTTATTTATTGTTTGTGAGATTAATTAGTACTAAATAGTAATAGTTTATTCATCAAAAAATATATAGTTATAAAAATACAAATGGTAGCTTAAAAATTAAAAGTAATTGAATGAATAAAGGTACACTCGATAAGTGAGTACTCACTTGTTTCGATTATAATACATGAAACTTAAAAAAAAGTACAATAAATTATTATTTAAAAACATTAATATTGTAAAGATAAAAAACACAAGATTAAAATATACAAATAACTAAAACTAAATTAACTAAAATTAGAATAAATAAAATAGGATAAATATATAAATATATAAGAGAAATTTAATTGATCCATTTTTATAATTAGAAGATTAAAGTGAATTTAAGGGAAAACGTGACAACCAAAATCTATATTATTGAGTGTTAAAAAAACAATTAATTCAAAAAACTAAAGCTGAGACTAGAAACAGACGCAAGTTAAGTATTTCTACATTCTATTATATCTTTAAATTTTTGTCGTGGATTTTCTAAAATAAATTTTTTAAGGCTTTTTTTCATTTTAATTTTACATTTAATTGTTTTTATTAATTCTGGTAGTTCATTATGTATCTTAGGACTAATTGATTTACTTACTTGTGGCACGATATGGAGATTTCTATTGCGAGTTTGATAGGAGTGAGAAGGTAAGTTAGCATGTTTAGTATTAAGTTGATATTTTTGAGCCATGCAGTAGAAGTATATTTGCCTAAGATCCATGATTTGACTTTCGGCATATAATAGATCACTTGAGTATCGATATTCTTTCGACAACATGTTTTAAAAATATTTTTTGTATTATCTCAAGCGTTTGGATATGGCACCTTAGTGCGCTTCCCCAAGCTAGAATACCATATCTAAGATGGCTTTCGACTAAGGCATAATACAAAGTTGTTAAACAGCTAACTGAAAGATATCTTTTCAGAAAATTAAACTTATATAAGGTACGCTGCAGTTTTTTTACGGTATAATTTATATGGTATTCCCATTTCAGATGACTGTCAATAAATATGCCAAGGTATTTTATTTGTGTTAAAGGTTGAAGAGCAAGATGATTTTTAATTATAGAAATATCAAGTTGATGAAATTTGGGAAGACAGCTGATGTTGCAGCTGAAAGGTACGTATCTAGTCTTGTCTAAATTTACAGTAAGTACTTTGTTGTCGAGCCAAGTCTTAATATTGAGAAAATCTCTTTCAGCCATGCGTTTGAGTTCATCCCAATCAGGTGCTTCGTAGAAGATTGCAGTATCATCTGCAAATCCCACAATTCTGCCCTTACTAGAAATTGAAAACAGACCATTTAAATAAATGTTGAATAAAATTGGACCTAGAGCACTGCCCTGGGGTACCCCGTATTTTATTGGCTTTCGATCACTTTCCTCTCCACTTACTTTTACAGACTGATATCTGCTGGTAAGGTAGCTTTCAAATAGTCTTAAGGTTTTTCCTCTAATACCAATATCTTCTAGAGATTGTAGGAGAAGGTAATGATCAACTGTATCGAAAGCTTTACTTAAGTCTAGGAATATGCACAAAGCTTTGTTCAAGTGCACTGTGTATGTGAGATACTAAATCTAATATAGCATCTTCTGTTGACATTTTTTCCCTAAATCCGTACTGTTTAGGAAACAATAGTTTATATTTATTTAAAAAAGAACTCAGCCTGTTTTTTATTAATTTTTCGAATATCTTCGATAGATGAGTGAGTAGGGAAATAGGTCTATAGTTACTAAAGAGAGTGCTATCTCCTTTCTTAAACACTGGAGTAACAATAGAGGTTTTAAATGCTGAGGGGTAAATGGCCTTGTCGATACACTGGTTCAATATATATGATATCGGTTCAGCAATAAAAGTTGCAATAGTTTTTAGGACTTCTGAGCAAATCTCATCAGTACCTGGTGCTTTTTTATTTTTTTAATCTTTAATAATTGCAATAATTTCTGACGGATTTGTTTCAAAGAATACTATTGAGTTCTGCAGTGTAAACCTATCATTTGATTGTTTTTCATCGTCTCTTTCAATTTTTTCGGCTAAGTTCTTTCCTACATTGATAAACTGATTGTTGAATTCATTACAGATACTTTTAAGATCAGTTAATAGTTCTTTATCTTCTGCTGTAATTGCCTCAATTTTTTTATGCGATTTCTTATGACCACTTAGAGTTTTCACCACTTGCCACAGTTCACTAGAATTACCAGCTTTAGATGCAATTTGTTGCTTGTAGAACTCATATTTGGTTTTTTGAATTGTAGCTGTTACTTTATTTCTACTGTTTTTATAGATATATTTCAAAACAACGTTATTTGGATCCCTTTGTAATTGTTTGAATAGTTTGTTTTTCTCATTGATTATTTTTAATAGCGAATCTGT